TGCTTTGTCCCTGAACAACTTGTCATGAGCATCTGTCCTTGTTTCTACTCTCACCCTCCACAAAATCAGTGGCCAAGCTGAAATTCAAATCTGGTCTGCCAGGAGGGAGCACTTGGATTCTTGGTCATCTGCTATGCACCTGCCACCTGAACTGGGCAGGAGGATAGCACATCAACCAGTAAATGTACAATATAATCTCATTCAATTTTAGCAAAATGCAAAGCTTAATCATGGCTCTCCCGGGGACAGTGCTCCCTGGATAGGAGCACTGATGTCTCCTGTGCCATTACCTGTTCTCTTCCCAGGGCCCCGCTCAGTTCCGGCCACATTCTGGGAGCTCGATCAATAGGTGGTGAATGTGTGCATGGATGGATAAATGAGTTTTGCAAGCGTCTTTCCCGACAAGGCCATGAGTTGGAGGTTGTGAAAGGCCGTGTGTCAGACTACTAAGACATTCCTAAGTCGGTGCCTGCAGGGGATTAAGGGAAGATCCCCAAGCAGGGCGGCTCCCTCCCAGGTCAGGTCATTCGGGAACAAGGCCCTCTGGCCAGGCTGGAGCTTTTGTCACTTTGCCCAGCGCTTTCAGCCAAGGGACAAGTGGGTCACTGACGGGTGGCTTTGCAAACATGTGTTAAACAGCATGCTTTGACAGCACTCCCTAAATCATGAACTGTGTATACACCATATACTTTCTTCTCAGAATAGACCTGAGTTTTCATTCCCCTAGCTAGAGATTTCAAAACCCAAGCTTGGGAAATCAGAGAAATGTGAAAGGCTCCCTTGGCACCCGAGTTCGAAAAGCAGGCTGTAGAGTGAGGTTCTTCCCTGTCCCTGCCCCACAGCTGAGGACCAAGAGGCTCCACGTACCCCACCTCCTAGGGAGAGCATCCAAGAAGCAGCCAGATCCCGTGAGCCCCAGGGCTGACGACGAGGCAGCAGCACAGGCCTGTGGGATCAGCACCGCCTGGTCACATCCCCCTCTGGACCCTATAGAGGAGGCCCGGGCAGGAAGAGAAAGGGCCCTCGGGCATTCTGGGGGTCTACTAGAGAGACCACTGAGGTTGGGGGAGAGGCAGTGGCTGCGCCAGGTGGGGCGACACCTTATCCAGAGACGGGGCTTAGAACATGGGTCGCTGTCAGGGGCAGGCGTGGGCACACCTGCTCCTCTCTGGGGAGGCCCTGCACATCTGGGGGTGCCGGTGTGAAGCTCAACTTCACCTCAGAGCACTGCGGCACACTTGCTGATGAACACTAGCTCAAAGCCCATTATTTCTTCCTGGTAAATATAATGAGAGGTGACCTGTATAAGTTTACATGGTAATAGCATATTCCATTTTTTCTAAGATACACATTTTTTTTTAAGCTTTTATTTATTTATTTGACAGAGAGAGACTCAGCGAGAGAGGGAACACAAGCAGGGGGAGTGGGAGAGGGAGAAGCAGGCTTCCCACCGAGCAGGGAGCCCGATGCGGGGCTCGATCCCAGGACCCCAGGACCATGACCTGAGCCGAAGGCAGGCGCCTAGTGACTGCACCACCCAGGCGTCCCCAAGGTATACATTTTTTAGTATGATTTTCTGAAATTAGGACGTGTCCTATATTCACTGATAACCAGGCAGAATTCATAAAATAATTGTCATTTTTTTAGGAATACTTATATACATTTATTTTGTGTATGCTTTTCCTGGTTTGTTTATACACAAGAGTGATATAAGATAAAAATGTATACCTAAGTAAGTCGTAACATCTCTTTCATTAAGTGTAAAATAAAAATGCTGAGTGTTAAGAAAATATTATATCCTAACTTAATTTGTAGCTCTCTTGTCTTGGTGGTAGAGACATAATAATGCATCTTTCAGTCCGCGGATGCTTGGACTCAAAGAAATGCAGTGCAGGCTTTTCCCCTCCCCTGCTCTCACAGAGTACTCTCTGCTAACTTGACCCTCTGATAGTTGGCATGGTTCTCTGGAAGTTCAGATATTTATTGCTCTCTCCCAAGGTTTCTCCTCAGAAACCGTAATGACTAATAGTTTATTTACACGTGAGGTTTCTAATTTCCATTTCTATGAGAGAGAGTACAAGGCACACCTAGAGAAAAATAAATATATATTCTATGATAAGGTAAAATGTTGTCAGTTTTCCCTGTACCTTAGCGGAGATTTTGATGTAGATTACATAGTCACCCAAAGTCGCACAATACCACGTTCTGCAGATCAAGCCCTGTGCCAGACATCTGTACCTGCTACAATCCCAAGCCCACTCCCAGGTCTGTCCGCTTTTGTACAGTACTTCTTCTGCATCATTCATTCATTCAACAAATATTCATTAAGCAACTACTCTCTGTGAACTGCTATGACAGGTACTGAGGATACAAGGCTGACACATACAAAAAGAGACACCTGCTTTCTTCCCTTGGGTCTCCGACCTACTCGCCCTGAAGACAGACCGGTAAAGGGCCAGACACAGTGGAGTGTGGAGAGGGCCAGGGTTGGGGGCACAGCAGTAGGTACACCTGGCTTCCTGCAGGGCTGTGTCCTCCATGTCAAGTGCCGTCCCCACTCTCTTCAGCTCTCTTCCTGCAGAGCAGATGCTCTGCTCCTTTTAGCGTTCACCCCCCCAACCCCGTTGGCTCCATGCCAACCCCATGCTTCCCCTTGACTTTGGGCAGCTGCTGTTCCCCCCACTTTCCCTTCAGTGGGTGCAAGCAGAAGACGGTAGCGTGAGATAGTTAAAGGGTTTGGAGAGTACATCCTCTTCATAAATTCCGTACCCTGTGTAATTGTCCTACAAAATGAATGCGAAATAAAGGCTCTCTCAGAAGAAAAGCGGAGGGACTCTGTTGGCATACACCTGCCTGGCACAAAATTGTAGAGGTTCTTTAGAGAGAAGGAGAATGCCAGGGGTGGAAAATCAGATCTACGTAAAGAAAGGGAGAACGGTGAGGAAGGCGTGAGGGAAGGTAACACAGTATTAATAACAGCCCATACGTTCACCTTAGGTCAGTTCAGATGGTACCACACTGCACCCTAATCCCCCCCCACCCAGTGCCCGGAGCCTGCTCTCACCAGCCAGTGGCCATACTGGGCCCTGCACCTGTTTCTCCTGCCCCTGCCTTCTTTGGCATAGCCTCACTCCTCTCAGACCAAGCCTCAAGCACGGCAAACCCCTCACCTGCTCTGCTATCAGTGCTTTCTGATAGGAACTCTAAGTGCTCTTGTGGCTAACCATTTTATAGCCACACTTTTATTTCCCCCTTAACAAACAAATGCAATTTGTCTTTCCTCTATAAAACTGTATCATTACTCTTCTTCCCTTAGGAGTTCTCCTCAATTTCTTTTTCAGAGAGGAGTCATAGGCCAGTTGTCAATCTATATATTGGAGCTCACCCTGTTTCTGACACTGGAGTAGGACCCTGCCAACATGTCCCTTGGGCCCGCTGAGCAGGGCGCTAAGCCTTGTCGGTAGACGGCGCTGGAGGGACAAGCAGGAAGAAGGACCTCTCCCCCAGGCCCTGGGAGCTTGGTCTCCTCCTGGCTCCTGTGGTGCTCATCTCAAGTGCAGGACCCCCAGAGGCACTCACCAGAGGGCGTTTCCATGGTATCCCACTGAAGTTTCTTGACAATTTCTGGGACCCTTCACTAGGTTTCCAGGGTGCTCTGTGGCGCTCTGCCTGTGTTAGGTGGGTGCCTAACCCTATACCACCGACTGAGTGACTTAAACCCCACCAATGTATTTCTCCTCTTTCTGGGAGGTGACAAGTCCAAGATCAAGGTGCAAACTAATCCGGTCCCTGGTGGCAGGTCTCTCCTTGGCTTGCAGATGGACACTTCTAGCTGTGTCCTCATAGGGCAGAGAGGAAGGAGCAAGATCTCTAGTATCTGATATCATAAAGACGCTGATCCTATAGACCAGGTTGCACACTTATGACTTCTCTTAACCTCCATTACTTCCTTAATCCAGGAGGCAGCCACATTGGAGGTGGGGCTTCAACACATGAATGAGAGGCGGGGCCACAGTTCAGTCCAGAGCACTGCCCCTTGCACACCAGTCTCGGGCACCCGGACAGCATCTTCCCCTGACCCCGCATGGGCTGCCTCCCGGGGAGCTTGCAGCAGCCCCAGCTACGTTCCCAGTTCCACTGCCGCCTTCGGCGTTTCCTGCCAAGTGTCCTCCTGCCACCTCAGTGGGGGGAGTCCTTGTTTGTGGGCTGTGCCTTGTGACACCCAGCATCTCTGTGGGCCATCCAACGGGCCACCGAGTTTCCAACAAGATCCACAGCTCAGCTTTGTGTATCCTGTACCCCTTAGTGTTTAGTCATGTCCCAGCTAATCATTCGTTCGGTTAGAATTTCCATCTCAAACGACTACCTGGTTTCTGTCCCCTGCCTGGACCCCAAATGACAGAGGGGGCTTCTCTACCCTGCTCGCTCCTCACCACCGCTTCCCCAGTTTGGATCCGTTAAGGAGCAGAGGCCGTGAGGAGAGAATCACCAGTGAGGCGGCATCAGGCCTTCACTTAGGCTTGAAGTACGGCAGTGAGATAAGGTGGAGGAAAACCGCCTTGGATGCCTTTCTCAGATGGCAGGGACAGAAACTGGTTCTCATTGGTTTGGGAGGTGCTCCTGAGACACCAGCAGAAGATCAAGGTGGCAGTGGCTGGAGATGGATGCCCCAGTCCCGTCCTCCCACGGCTGGGTCCCCTCCCCCAGGGACAGAGACCACTGAGGAGCAAAACAAAGGGAACCAGACGCTCAAGACAGAGAAGGTACAGGACCCCACGGACGGCAGTGAGGGGTAACCCCTGTTACCCCATGGAAGGGCTTGGAAATAGCACCGGAGCAACCAGAGGGGAGGGGTGGGTGCGGGGCGTCTGTCCTGTGTCATGCTGAGATGGTCCCCCTACACCAAACCCAGGGGCCAGGGCTCCACCCGCACGGGGGTGTCCATCCATCTCCCCTGGGGGACAAAGAGCAGTTCTCATACCCAAGAGTGAGTGACACACACTTTTCAACAGTCAATCTCTTAAAGCATTTATTAGACACCTCTTAGGTGCCCTCCACCAGCATCCGGGGACAGAGAACTCAGTGTCTGGGTGACCGTGCCCTCAAGGGACTCACAGCCCATCTCCCGAGGGCAGAACAAAGAGGAAGCTCAGTACTTGTCAGGCAGGCCAGGGGGTCGGAAGTGGTTGGGGTCTCTTCCACTCCGGCCCCATTCATTGGCAGCCTGGTCAGCCTTGGAGTCCTCCACTCCGTGGCCGCTGTCTCCATACTTAAAAAGGTCTGTGACTCTCTGCAAATTTTCTCTGGCATCGCTGTGATGGAGGAAGGCAGGTAAGAGATTAAGTAGGGGCTGAGGAGCAACATCCCCCCACCCCACCAATCTCTCTTCCTCCCAAGGGATGGCTGAGAGGAGCCAAGACCGGAGGGGCTGAAACACTGACCCTGCTCCAGGGACAGCCCAGCTTAGCCCAGGCTGGTTCACTTTCCCTGCAGGAGGGCGGGAGTCACCCATTCCCACGGGCCTTGCTCTGACTGTCAGCCACTCAGACCCCACACTGGGCACAGAGGGGAGGGTGGGCAAGAGGAGGAGCCACAGTCTCTACAGGAAACTTCTCTAGGGCTTGGCCCCTCTGGGCTAATAAGGGTGTCCGGCTCAGCTCACCCATCCCTGCATCCCCAGGGCCCATGTTACCTGATCTTTTCAGCAGCCCAGACACCCCCAGGGCCCCTTTGTGCAGCATCATAGTTGCCCCGGGCATGGAAGTATTTGTCGGAATTTTTGTAATTGGCTTCTTTCATGTCAGAGTACGCTCTCATCATGTCCCACGCCCCTGCAGAGAAAAGGATCAGGCAAAAGAGATGTCAGGTGGACAGAAAGCCCGTGACACACCCTAGTTCCGAAGAATCAAGGAACCACAAATCTACCACTGACTCAAGATTTCTGCCTGTGCTCCCAGCACCCTTGGGCACCATAGGCTGAGAAGAACAAGTCTTCCTCCTGGTTGTTTCCCCAGGTGTCGCCAGCGAGGGGCTGTGGGTGGGGCACAGCTCTGTTGCACCTGTGTGTCTGATCTGTGCTATCTCTGGGCTCCATCCCCTTAGGGCTCTATGTGAGCTGTTCAAGGAGAGGAAGGAGGAATTATAGAACAGGATTTCTCAACTTCAGCACCACTGAGGTTTGGGGCCAGATAATTCTTTGTTGCTTAGGCCTGTCCTGAGACTTCAGGATGCGTAGTAGTACCCATGACCTCTGCCCACTAGATGTGGGCAACGTATTCTCCAAGGGTCACAACCAGAACTGTTTGCAGACATTGCCGAATGTCCCCAGGCACACACTTGCCCTTGGTCAGGGAGCACTGCCGTAGAATGAAGCCACAGATGATAAGTTCCAGGGGACTTGGGTAAGTGAGCAGGTGACAGGGAAGGCAGATCCTGAGAAAGGCCCAGGAGTACAGTGCTTCTGCCCGGAGCCTTAGGAAATCTATTCTTGCAGGGGGAAGGCACGTGACTGTGACCTGAGTCCCTCTGAGTGTTAGGGGCATAAGAGGCATCCTGACAACTTTCTAAATGGACCGTACCAATGATGGGGGCGGCTCGAGGAGGCCAGCGCTAGAGCCCTGGCCCATGAGCCATCCTTGGCTGCACTTTCTTCTTTTTTTTTTCTCTTTAAATATTTTATTGTTATGTTAATCACCATACATTACATCGTTCGTTTTTGATGTAGTGTTCCATGACTCATTGTTTGTGTATAACACCCAGTGCTCCTCGCAGAACGAGCCCTGGTAATACCCATCACCAGGCTAACCCATCCCCCCAACCCCCTCCCCTCAAGAACCCTCAGTTTGTTTCTCAGAGTCCAGCCTCTCTCATGGATCCTCTCCCCCTCCGATATCCCCCCTTCATTCTTCCCCTCCTGCTATCTTCTTCTTCTTCTTTTCTTTTTTTCTTAACATATATTGCATTATTTCTCTCATGGTTCGTCTCCCCCTCCGATTTCCCCCCTTCATTCTTCCCCTCCTGCTATCTTCTTCTTCTTCTTTTCTTTTTTTCTTAACATATATTGCATTATTTGTTTCAGAGGTACAGATCTGTGATTCAACAGTCTTGCACAAATCACAGCACTCACCATTTGGCTGCACTTTCTAATCACCGGGGTGCTCTGAAAGTCCTAGAGGCCAGGTCACACCCCAGGTCAGTTACCTGAGCCTCTCAGGCCAGCTGGGGGGGGGGGGCTCCGTGGGGGGTAGGGATGGATCTCAGGCATCCGGGGTTTGGACCGCGGTCCTGGTGCTTCCGACAGGTAGTGGAGGTTGAGAGCCACCCAGCTTTCGGGAGTGGTACTCAGACACATCTACCTGGCAAGAGCTCTGAACTCAGGCACAGCTGGGTCAAACCTCTGCTCTGCGACCTGCTGCCTGGCGCTTAGTCCCTGACAATGGATTCAGCTGCTCTAAACCTCAGCTTCCGCCCCTTCTTGTGGGGAAGATGCCTGCCTCACCAAGGTGTTCTGAAGCCATAGTAGGCGAGCACCTGTCCCAGCCTGACCAGTAGTGTCCCTGTTTGCCTCGAAGCCTCCCAGTTAGCACAGACGGTGTCATGGAAAACTCCGCAGACCCGGGCAAACCAGCATAGCTGGTCACTCTACATTGCATGAAGGTGCTGAATTCCAGTGAGGGCTCGATAGATGTTATTAGTGCCCCCGCCTTTTTTTGGTCTGCTTAAGGGCTAGGAAAGGGTAGGAAACAGACCTCCCAGGGACAGCGTCACTGTCAAAAGGAAGCCTCAGTGAGAGCTAGGCTGAAGGTGTCTGTAAATTATCGCATCAGGAAATGGCAGGAAGGAGGGAAGGGAGGGAAGGGAGGCAAGGGGGAAGGGAGGAAGAAAAGGAGGAAGGGCTGAATGAAGGGAGAGAGGGAAAGGAGAAGAAAAGGTGGGCAGCTCTGATCATACACTGTGTATTTTGTCTGCAGGAAATTTTATGCCATTTCAAGACTTATTCGGTGTCTTCTATTCAAACTGACCCTTCAGCTGGGAATGATGATTGCTCTTTCTCTGGTAACGGATGGACACAAATCCTGTGGCTTCCTACCTGTTTGATGAAGAGCTCCCCAAACCCTGGGCACATTCTACCACATAGGGCAACACAGCTCACACAGCAGCTACAACCCTTGAAAGTGCTCAGGGCAAATCCTAGTGGGCCGTGGATGCCACCCCCATCCAGCAACCTTACCTTGAGCAGCCTCCCCGATGAATGCATACCATTGGCTGCTGACACCCAGGGCCAAGGAGCAGAAAATGAGGCCCGTGAAAAGCTTCATGGTGCTGAAATGAAGCAGAGGGTCAGGGGGGCAAGGACAGGACCCTCACCCCACTTTGGGATTGGCAGGTCACAGAAAGCCTGGTGCTCATTCCATTTGTTCTCAGTAGACTCTTCAGGTCCATGTAGGAAAGAAACATTGCAGTAGGTCCTCACTCGGAGCCACAGCCCTTGGCTGAACCCATCAGCCCTGCCCCCCAGGGCTGGCTAGGAGGTCCCCAACGTGGCACTGATGGAGGAACAGGGCAGCTGGGACCAACCTGTCCCAGCCTAGAGCAGCCTGCCCTCGACCAAAAAGCTTATAATCAACCAGTCTACTGTGTGCCACTCTGCAAGCACAGACCTCATAAGGGGAGAAATACAAAATAGAATAATTATGTTTAAAACTGTTGGGAAAGAGAAAAGAGAGTCTGGTTGTTTTTTCAACCAGTTCCTCCCTGGAGTAGCCCCTCACCTGAGTTCCGGTGGAGCAGAGCGGCTGGTCCCTGCCTGCTGGGGAGAGGTGGCTGCTATTTATACTGAGCCCTCCCTGCTGGGCACACGGGAAGACAAGAATAGCCAGACTTGGTGCCTGGAACAGTCTCCCCAGGTCATGGCCCCTAGAGACCTGCAAAGGAGAACTTACTGGACGCCCGTGGTTTTCTTCATCCACAGGTCAATTCCCGGTTGTGCAACCCTGAGGAAACAAGGTGAGCTGGTTCTGCTGGCAGCCGGGGCTCAGGAGGAGTGCCCTGCTGTTGGATTTGGAGGGGCTGTGGAGAGGAAGGGTGTGGAACACCAGGCAGGTGGCCTCCCGGTCCCTGGAAGTTGTATGGTTAGCGGAGGGCTTCTGTAGTCAGTACCTTGCTTTAACTGGTCAGTTCCTCAGGATGGTCCCTCCGGGCCAGATGGCTGATGTTCCAGAAATGACACCCTTTGAGTTCTTGCCTAAAGCTCTTGAGTTTCAAAATGGACAGGGCAGCCCCACCAAGTCCCTTGGGTGCCCTGGAAGGTCCCTCCCCCAGTCTGTGTGCACCTGCTAATCTTTCAGTTCTGAGGCACAGGAAAGCCCTGCTTAGCTGGCTCAGCCCACGAGCATGTGTATTATTATCTAAGCTGGTTCCTGGGTTGGAAGTATCCAGTTGGAGGGATTCTGCTTCACTTCACCCAATCGTGGAGTTGTGTCATAGTGGAATGAGAGGTGCCAGGAACTAAAATATTAACCCTAAGAAACCTACAATAGGACATCAGGTATGCGAAAATGACAGCCCATTTGGAGTAAGGTCAGGGTCCCAGTCAGGGTATTTTGGGGGTAAAAGCTCTTTGCTGTATTTCCTGGGGGTGCAGGGGGTCACTATCTTCCCTCTTCTCATTGTGAGTCAATATCAGTAGAGTCTGCCCAACAAGATGAGGCCTGTGTATATATGAGCAGAGCCTCCAACTCTCCAAAGAAAATATCCCTCGTACCTCATCCTAACTGGAAACATTCTAAAAAGACAATTCTGGGAGCCCATGGGTGGCTTAGTCGGTTAAGCTTCTGATTTCAGCTCAGCTTATGATCCCGGAGTCTTGGAATCAAGCCCCGGGTCGGTCTCCTTGCTTTGCAGGGAGTCTGTTTGTCCTTCTCCCTCTGCCCCTTCCCCTGCTCATGCTCTCTTGCTCTATTTCTCTCTCTCTTAAATACATACATACAGACAGACAGACAGACAGGCATAAGAAGGAATTCTGAAGACTGTAGTTCAGTGTAGACAGTTGACATTGTTCCAAGCTTTCTAAAGATTGGTTGAAGAGAAAGGCTGATTCTCTGCCTGAAAGAGAATGAAGCTTATCATTTCTCCTTCCCTTTGCCTGATATTTTTGGACAAGACAGCAAGTACTATTTATTCTTTTTGACTCTCAAATATCCTGCCTAGTTTGTCAACTGTTCTCTTGTTATTGCTAATATAAATGAAATACAGAATGTCAAATTCTCAACCTCTTGGTTTGAATATGAAATCTAGCATATGGAAGAAGAGAGATATGCTAAGTTTTCTTTCGACTTTACAAAGATATCTTACATGTTCAGGAATCATTTGGGAACAGAGGATGTCAATTACATCTGTTATAACATCACCAGGGCGACAAATCATGAGTCCAGACAACCAAGTTGGCTTCTTTTTTGGAGGTTCAGAGTACAGGAAATACCATCCTTGAACAATTTGCCTTAACCCCTCCCCAACTTGCTCTCTGTTGCTCTCTCTCTCTCTCTCTAAAATAAATAGGTAAATCTTAAAAAAAAAGAGAGAGAGATAATGAATACCAGGATGTCTGGGCGGCTCAATCAGTTAAGCGTATGTCCGACTCCTGATCTCAGCTCATGTCTTGATCTCAGGATTGTGAATTCAAGCCCTGAGTTGAGACAAAAAAAGATAATGAATGCAAATAATTTTTGCATAATAAAATATACTGGAATTTTGGTAGCAGAATAAATTAAAAATTATCCATCTAAGATTTGTCTGTTCAAATTCAAGGAGCTGGATGAGTCTTTTCTACTGGAACTGGAAATTCTGTATACGGATGGCTGTGTTACCTTACTTTCTATCACCCAAGTCCTAATAATATGAGACTGTGTTTGCGGTTAAGTTTTTGAATGGATATTGATGTTTATGTCTTGATCACTCAGTAGCAACATGTGTCACTGTTGTCTGCATGATTTAAACCTAAGGGTGGCAGGTCACCACCTCATAAAAGGATTAACAACAGAGTTTCTGGGAATAAATGCTAGTACATCAGTGCATTTGGTGGTCGGAGCCTATGGAAGTTCATTTCATATTGCTTCTATTTTTCAGTGAAATAGGAAGCATAGTCATCAAGTGAAAAGAGGATGGGACAGGAGGCATGGTGGAAGTTCTAGGAGAGAAGTGGAATATGGTCATCTAGGAGAATGGCAAAGTGAATAAACTTGGGAAGTGTAGTAGGATTGCAAGGAAGCTTGAGGATAATGATCATGAATTTAAAGGGAGACTAATGACCATGATTTTCCCTCACCACATTCAGTTGCCAAAGTGCAGACTTGAAGTTAGTAGGGAATTAGATCTCACCACTCAGTAAATACTTATTATCAAATGAATTAACACATTTGCAGGTCAAAGGAGGATTCATTTAAAGATGAGGGAGGGTTATGGGGTATAGGGAGAGAATTGACAAAGAGAGAGTGAGTGAGGGCATAAATATACTCCAAGGTCCAAGGGCCCACTGAGGATGGCGCTACCCAGAGTGTAGTAGGAGCCGGTCTTTCTCTGATAAAGGAAAGAAAGGAGAGAGGATTAGGAAGATGTATTTTGAAATGAAGGCTAGAAAGCTGAAGGAAACCAGAAACACCTTTACCTGTCCCAGGATTCATCAGTCTCTACCTGTTTGCAATAATGAGTTTGGCCCCACAGTGCACAAAACTCAGGCATAGGAACCTTGTCTGGTTTCCTGACCATCTGCTAAATCTCTTACACCTAGCAGAGCACCCCACCTATGATGGGTTCTCAGTAATTTTTATTGATTGAATGTATCAATGAGTGAATGAACGAGGAGAAGTAATCTGCATGGTTGGAGAGAAGTAGTGAGATGGTGGCGTTTGGAGGTTAAGAAGAAAAAACGCAAACACTTAACACCCCCTCTACCATGTCCATCCTGTTATTATACCCCATAATTTGGATTATTGTAACAAATCCTTAGTTGGCTTCCACATTTCCACGCTTGCCTCCAACTAGTCTCTTCTCAGCATAGCAACCAGACTGTTAAAACACAAGACAAGCCATGTCACTCTGCTCAAAAACCTCCAGAGGGTGTCAGTTTTAGCCATAGTGAAGCCAAGCTCTTTGAGTAGCTTACAAGACTCTACTCTGTCTTACACCTCACTCATTTTGCTGCAGCAACACTAGCCTCCTCCCTCTTCTTCAAACTCTCCAGCACATCTCACCCTGGGGGCTTGGATAATTATTCCTTTTTTTGCCCAGATATTTGCATATCAGGGCTTTAAGAAGAGCAAGGTCTAAGGGGGCGCCTGGGTGGCTCAGTTGGTTAAGCGACTGCCTTCAGCTCAGGTCATGATCCTGGAGTCCTGAGATCAGGTCCCACATTGGGCTCCCGGCTCAGCAGGGAGTCTGTTTCTCCCTCTGACCCTCTTCCCTCTCCTGCTCTCTATCTCCCATTCTCTCTCTCTCAAATAAATAAATAAATAAATAATCTTTTAAAAAAAAAAAAGAAGAGCAAGGTCTTAGATTTCAGGATGCTGGAAGGTTCAGCAATATTATTAATGTCACTAAGAATGTTGGCCTCAAATAAATCAGAAGGAGGGCTGTGAATGACAAGTAGAAATTTTCCATAAAGGTAGGAGAGGAATGGGGAGATCTATCAACAAATATAACTGAGAGAAGCTTTGTCCTCAAACAGTACTTATTAGATTGTCTCTATCAAGAGCACCTGGTGGGCATTCTATGAGTGCTGATTCCTGGGCCCAAATATTGAGGTTCTGATTCAGCAAATTTGAAGTGGACTTCAGAAATGACTGTGTTTGGGGTGCCTGGGTGGCTCAGTCAGTTAAGCATCAGCCTTCAGCTCAGGTCCCAGGATCGAGTCCTGCATCGGGCTCCTTGCTCAGCAGGGAGTCTACTTCTCCCTCTGCTTGCCGTTCCCCCTGCTCATGATCTCACTCTCTCTCTCAAATAAATAAATAAAATCTTAAAAAAAAAAAAAAGAAATGCCTGTGTTTGACAATCTCTATGTTTTGGAAATCACTTGTGCAGATAACATTGGTAAAGCTAGAGAGTGGGTTGTAAAGAATTTGATGGGGACTTAGGAGAAGGCACTCCAAAGAGCACTGGGGGTGTTGCTGGGTGGACTGGGGAGACCCCTGGGCCCTGAGGCCTCTGCTCAGCCTATTCTGGGATGTTGCCAGAGGCTCTTGGTCCTGTCACAGGAAAGAATTCAAAGAGAGACTAGACAGAACAGTTGGGTGGTACAAGAAAGAAAGTTTATTAAAGCAAGAGTACACTCTTAATATATGAGAGCTGGTGAGCTCAAGGGAAAGCTACATACCCTAGAGTTTGGGTCTCTCCTTTATTGACAGTTGTTAACAAGGGGGTGGAATATTTCTTACATGGGGAGGGGATTTGGGGGGAGAAGAGTTTCTGGCTTTTTCTCCCTTACTAGGTGAGGGTCTTCGGCCTTCTTCGTCTTGGGCCAGGCTGGTTTGATCCGGCTTCTTGCAGTTTTGTTTTTGGAGCTCTGCCAGGATGGGTCTCTAACTTTCCCCTGAGAGCCATAAATCCCCCTGTGCTGACCTCCAGGTATCCTGTTAAAACCTAACTAACTGCTTACTCTAACCAGGGTAAAGAATGTAGAGATGGCAGTGGGGAGCAAAGAGGATGTAGAGCCCTCTCTCCCATTCTATTGTTCGGGAATTGCAGGAGGTCTACCCCATGGGAAAAGATAACAATAAAGTGGAACCGACTTGGGAAAGGCAAGTGTCAGG